TATGATATGAAATAATAATTTTATCACTCTGTCATCTTAAATTTATCATAAAACACGAAGAAAGCGATTACTTCGAGTCGAAGACTCGGAGTGGTTGGTTTCTTCGTGTTTCTTTCTTCGTTTCTTCGTAAATCCATATTTTAAAAATTCTTTAAATATGTTTTTGGTATATACAAAAGGAATACTCCTAATAATGTTATTATAGAATATCCCAGGAACGTGAATGGATTTTTTTAGTAAAATTTTGTGACTATTTTTACCATGAAGACAAAAAAGTAATATTCATTATTTCAAGAATAAAAACTAAATTTTCACATTTAAAAAACTTGATCTTTCTAATGTTGAAAACAAAAAAAAAATAAAAAAAAAATGTGAAATAAAATACAAAGAGCCACTGAACTGACTAATTTAATAGTTTCGAGCAACAAAATCAGTGTCTCGAAAATTCGTTTACTCTCGTGCAGCAACTGGAGATTAGTTAGTATAATTAAGCTTTTGCCTGACCTCACGAACCTACATGTATGCTCACGTTTCGCAGAGTTAGGATTTCCACTATACATGTACATACTTTTTTTGTCCCACAAGATATTATCGAAGATAATTTATTGGCCCGGTCATTCCCATCTACATATAACCGGATTCATTAAAACGACTATACATTTCTGATTTATTGATAATTGAATCTAAAGGTTATCTTAATAATTTCCCCTCTTGCATATTTGTAATTAATATCAAATTTTACAACTTTTCAAATATACAACGAAATATTTTATTCACATTTCTACGTAAAATTTTATTCGTGCAAAATGGAGAATCTTTTTTTGGAATATTCCAAACATATTCCAGGAATATTATATAATCTTCGAGAAATTTGGGAGGTTCCTTTGTCATAATAAAAAAATATTCTATTAGAATATTGAAAGAATATTCCATTTACATCCACGAAATATTCATAGAAAGTAGGAAAATTTAGAATATTTATATGGAATATTGAAAATACATTCCATAAGCTTAAAAATTTCCGACACTTGTACAAAAATACAACGAAATATTCCATTCACATTCCTGGAATATTCCATCTTCATTTAAAGAACATTCCTTTGTGATATTCCATCTATATTTTAGAAATATTCCAAGACTAAAGTTCCTTTCAAAGAATGTAGAATACTACTGGAATATTATAGGAATAATTAATTCACACTCTCAGAAAATTCACTGGAATCTTAAAAATGAAATCAACCCCAATAGTACATAATATTCCAGTCACATTCCTGGAATATTCCATTAGAACATTGGAAATATTACTTTCGAATATTCTACTCACATTTTTGGAATATTAAAATGTCTGATCATTGGAATATATTCTTTTAAAATAAGCTTGTAATATTCCTTCGAAATATTGTGCAAATATTCCAGTGGACATTAGTAAAAATATTTCTTTCTTATTATTTGTATAAATAATTAGTAATAATATTAATCAATTTTCGAGTCAATTAAATAAATAATCCATTTATTTTCAATTTAAAAAAAAATTGTAAATTTGAAAATTAATATTCCAATAAGTATATTCCTAAAATATTCCAATGTTAATTTTCCAATGGAATTTTACTACATTATTTAGAATCAGTCAGAATATTCCCATGGTCTTTTGATAAAGTATCCCAGAAATGTAAGGGGAATATTCCATGCTATTGAGAAACGAATTTCTTTATTCAAAATATTTTAAACTTATTTCCAGAATATTAAAATGCCCGGCATATAGAATGTTCATTTAATATATTTTAGAAATATTCCATTGGAGTTTTATGAAAATATTCCAGTAACATTCTTTGAAAATCAATAAATCACTGAGAATATGTTTTCGAATATTTCAAAAATATTTTGGAAATATATTTGGAATATTTCTTTGGAATAATGTAAAAACATTGGATTACTTTATTTCCTGGAATATTTTTGGAATATTGAGAATATTCCAAGGGAAGATTTTAACAATATTTAAGTTTTATTACAATTTTTTTACCATTGAAATAACGTTCTTTTGGTATATTATAGAAATGTGCTACAAAAATATTACAGTAATATTCCATTGGAATATTTATAAATATTTGTATATGGTATAAACATAACATTATTAGTTTTAAATAACATTAGTAGAAAATAATAGATATTATAAAAAGGTTAAAAATATTTTTTTCATTGATCTGAAATATTTATGAATATTCCGAAACAATATTCCAATCGCAGGGCAATTTTTATATTTCCCGAATATATGTAAAATATTTATGTGGATTATTCATAATATTCCAATGAAATATTCCTTATTATTATTTTTCTGAGCTATCACTTGGTCATTGGAATATTCCAAGAATGTAAATGGAATATTCCTTGATATTTGAGAAATGTTATTATATTTAAAAATTTTTATAAATTACAATGGAATTTTTTTTTAAATAGATTAAGTTTTCTCTTTCCATGTTTGAAATTAAAATATGGTAGATTGCAAATTTCTTGCTCGCGTTTAAAAATTATTCTCAACTTTTCTTTTTCTTTTTTTCTATTATCTGTAAATTGTCAATCCCAAGTTTCCAGGATACCTTTTAATTTACTTCTCTCTGCATTCGTAAGTGACTGGAAGAGGTCAAAGAGGAAAAGTCGTCTTTTAGGAGAAATTCTATTCTGTTAGTAAAGCTGCCAAGTTCCTAAAGTTGCTCACATGTATATATATTTTATTCATGCGTCTTCTCATGTTTAATGCCTTCTATAGAATACAGCAACGTCAACTCTTTTGTAAAATAAGTTATGTACCCGTCCATTCATTGTTATATTATAATAATAGATAATACTATGTGTTCAGTTTTAAACCAAATCTAATAAGAGAAAATTCAACATATCAATTTCATAACAAAATTCTATACAATTATTTTACTCCATAATAAATGATAAATTAATTAGCAGTTAATTAATAATAATTTATAATATAATGTATATTATAATTAATAAATAATTTAAAAACAAATATTTTTGTAATTAGTCAATTAACAATTAATAAGTAAATTAATGTGCTCCAATAGCACGGAATAATTATTTTCACATTCCTGGAATACTTCATTGGAACATTGGAAATATTCCAAACCACATTTTAGGAATAGGTATTCAAATAACCGACCTTGGAATATTAATATTACATAAAATATAACAAAAAATGTTCTGTTACCTACATTTATTTACGAATTTTTTTAATTGTAAAACTATTCGAAAACATCAATAACTTTTTTTTTTTAAATAAATATTTAATCAATATTATTTTTCCATAGGAATTAAGAATTTCAAAAATTTCAAATTCAAATCTTTTTAAATTCAATAACTTATAAGAATATTTTTTATAAAACATGAAGATAGCGATTGCTCCGAGTCGAAAGACTCGAAGTGATCGATTTCTTCATGTTTTATAATAATGAAAACTCACCGAGTGATAAAATCATTGTTTTATATTATAAGAATATTATTACAGTAACATTTTCAAAATTATTTTCATCATTTCAAATCAATTATTATTTTCTTCAATTTTTAATTATCTTTTATGAAAAAATTGAATTCCTTAAAAGTTTTTTTATTATTTATAAAAATAATTGAATTATTGAGAAAGAATTTATAAAAAATTTGTAAGAAATTGAATTCTTGAGAAATTTTTATTATTTATGAAAATAATAAAATGTTTGAGTACTATTTTTGGAAATTTAAAATTGATTTGAAAATAATTGAACTTTGGGGAAGAATTTTGTTATTTATGAAGATAATTGGGATTTTGAGGATAATTTTTTCTTAGTTTGAAAGATAATTGAATTTTATGTGAAGAATTTTATCATTCTTGAAAATAATTGAAATTTCTGCAATTATTTGTAATTTTTCCAAAATTGGATTTTTTTTAGTGTTTTTAACAAAATTTGAATTACAAATTTTTAAATTCTATTATTTTTAAAATTGCTGGTATTTATTAATATTCGATCGAAATATTCATGAACATTCCAACAAAATATTCTTGCAAAATTCCAAAAGAAGGGCATTTTAATATTCCCTGAGTATATGTATGGAATGTTCGTGTTGATTAATATTCCAAAGAAATATTCCTTGTTTGAATAAAATATTCCAGAAATGTAAGTGGAATAAAATTAATTTATTTAAATATCGACAAAATTTATTAAAATTTTTTTAATTATAGCAATAACAGTAAAAAATATTTTGACAAAATTTCACTAGAATAATCCAACAATATATTTTTATAAAAACCCATTGAAATATTCATACAATATTATTAAAAAATTTTAATGGAATAATTCCATACTGGTTTTATTGAATATTTCTCCATTATTTCAAAGGATTATTCTAAAGGTTGTACCTAATGTTCCATTGGACAATACGATTTTAACAATGTAATTAAAAAAATAAAAGATAAAAAGAACATAAATTCAATGTTCAGGACAAATAATATTGAGAACGTAAAATAGAATGAATGAAAAAATAATGAAACTGAAAACTAAATGCAAATTTAATAAAATAATAAATAACAATAAAATAAATTATAAATCATTGTAAATAAAAAGTATAAAATTATTAATTTAAAGAAATTAAATTTAGAGTTCAGGTGAAAATATTGACAAAGTAAAAAGAATAAAATTGAGAAATTAAAATAATTAAATTTCACGAAAACGTGAAATATTTAGTTAGTGGAAAACATTGGAATTGATGTGTAGAAAATAAAATTGTAAAGATATTCTTAGAATATAATTAAGTATGTATATGCATATAAAATTCATACGTACGTATGTATATTATATGGATATATCGTATATATTATTTTACGAGTGGGATGGTCAAAATGTTGTAAATCTGACATGAAAATTTATAACCGAGAGAAGGGAATTTTACTATTTTCTTTTTTCCTCCCATCTTTTTTAAAATGCAAATTACGATTTTGCCCCGGCATTTTTTTTTTATTGCAGAATATCAGCGCCATTTGAAGTAGCAGCGGCAGTCCTGATATTTGCCGGCACGATATCGGCAATGATCGGTCATTGTTGCTCGGATCACAGGACCCTTGTGGCTTGCGGCTTATTTCTCCTTGGCGGTAAGTTTTCAAGTATATAGACAGAGAAGAGGGTTTTGAATCTAAATAGCAAAGTAGAATGGAAATTAGGGAGGCGGGGAAGAAAAGTGGAGTCGAGGGCGGAGAGGGTTTATCTTGACGTGAACACCTACACCTCGAGAAAATCAAAATCTTTGTAAAATTACATATATAATATCGTTGAGAGGGGATTTAAAATTAGGGATTTTCATTTCAATTTACTGTTAAATATATAATATTTCAAGTGTCAACATTCAGAGATTACAATTTTCATTTTTTTGCTCTTTATTATAAAAATAATGTTCACTTGGAAAAATAAATTCCCCGCAAAAAAATAAAAATAATATTCTGTGAGAGTTTATAAATTCCCTGCGGACTTCTTTTCTGTAAGAATTTTTCTTTTCGAATATGGAATAGCACGGAATATTTTATCGAAACGTTAAAAATATTCCAGCACTTTTTAGAAATATCAGAATGAATTTTTTAGATTTTTCGAATCTATTGGAATTTTTCTTTGGTATAATTTAGGAATATTCCAACAAAATATTTTGGGAATATTCAATTGGAATTTTGTAAAAATATTTGTTTACTATTCTTAGTATTATTAATAATATGCCAATTAACATTCGCGCCTTTTCAATAAAATCAATTAACTTTTAAGTGAAGAAAGAACATTTTTAAATTAATATTCCATTGCAAAATTCCTATCGGTATCTTATGAAATATTTTGACTAGATTCTAAATTTTTAATGGAATATTCCTACAGTAGCAACAATTCGCGGGCTAAAGCGAGCGGCTAAGATTTTGGGATAATATTAGAAATTTAAAAAAAAATAGAATTAAAAAATTTGTAATTCAAATTTTTGTTGAAAACACTAAAAAAAATCCAATTTTGGAAAAATTACAAATAATTGCAGAAATTCAATTATTTTCAAGAGTGATAATAAATTCCTTCGCAATAATTCAATTATTTTTATAAATAATACAATTTTTTTTAGGAATTCAATTATTTTCATAAAAGATAATTAAAAATTGGAGAATATAATAATTGATTTGAAATGATGAAAATAATTTTGAAAAAGTTACTGTAATAATATTCTTATAATATAAAACAATTATTTTATCACTCGGTTATTGAATTTTAAAATATTTGAATTTGAAATTCTTAATTCCTATGAAAAAATGATATTGATTAAATATTTATTTAAAAAAAAGTTATTGATATTTTCGAATAATTTTACAATTAAATAAATTCGTAAATAAATGTAACAGAACATTTTTTTAAGTAAAATTTTTTCCTTTATTTTCTAAAAATTTAAAAAATTTCATTTTCAATTAAATTAAATTCAAATTTTTGTTGAAAACAGTAAAATAATTCAATTTTGGAGAAATTGCAAATAATTTATTGCAGAAATTCAATTATTTTCAAAAGTAATAAAATTCTACTCATAAAATTCAATTATGTTTAAAATTAAAAAAAATTCTCGTTAAAATCCCAATTATCTTTGTAAATAACAAAAATTTCTCCCAAAGTTTAATTATTTTCAAAAATGACAATAAAATTCTTGTCCTAATTTCAATTATTTTCAATATCTGCTATTTTAATAAAATTTTCCGAGAAAAATTCAATTATTTAAAAAATAATTTAATAAAATCGTACATAAACATTTAATTATTGTCAAAAATATTTAAAATTCCACAGGAATTCGATTATTTACAATTTTTTTTATAAATTTCTTCGCAATAATTTAATTATTTTCATAAATTTTTAATTGTTATGGTTAATTGTTCCAAAGGATTTTAATATTTTAATATTTTCAAAATGTGGATGGAATATTTCTGTTTCAATTGAATATTCCAGAAATTCCAATGGAATTTTCTGTGCCACTGGGAAAACTAGTTTTATAAAATCGTTTTCCTATTCTAACATTAAAATCAAAGAAAAGATTCTTAAATCTAATCAATGCTTCATTAATTTTTATTTCTTTTTAATTTAATTCTTTTGTAAAATTAGAATTTTATTTTCTTATTTTGTAAATTTAGAAATATTTTCGATTCAAAAATACAATCTCAAAATATAAAAAATTTTATTCACAAAAAAGACTATTTTTTAACTAGTAAAATTTAGAATTTCAAAAAGAAATTAAATTTAATAAAAATGAAAAAATAAGGAAGTAATTTAAGGAAAAGAAATTTGAGAAAAGAGGAAAATATCCTTTTAAATGATCAATCAACAAATTGGGCATTTGATGCCCAATTACTTGATATTGTATGTATATATGTATAAAACACGAAATTATATCGAATGCTTGTTATTGATAAACAAACCAATTATCAAAAGCATTTGTTGCATAATAATTGGATTAAATGTCATTGATGTGATATCGTGTTCATTCACTTATTATACACTAATGGAAAGAGTCAATAATTTGACCGGAAATTCTCACATGATTGACAATTTCATTGAAAATGGTTTATCAATTTGGCTTTTTAAATCGACATTCTACTCTATATTTTTTTAATTCAATTTTATGACATTTTTATGATATTTTAATATGTGTAGCTATTTAAGATTAGGATTTACTCTGCTTGTAAATTTATTAATTTATAACATTATAATACAACATTTAATATAAAAAAAATTATTTTTCGAATTCAAAAAAGTAGAAAAATAATGAAGAAACTTGTTATTCAAGATAAGAAAATTATATTTCATTACGAAAATAAAATATGTTTTAGAAAAAAAATATTCAATGAAAAAAAATTACTTATTTTAATAAAGTGGAAAATGTAATTTACTGATTTAAAACAATTTTCTTTGATTTAGAGAAAAATATTTTTCTTCAAGGACGAATATAGAGACTCAAAGTATTTTTTTTCGATAAATTCCATTTTTTCATTTTTATTTTATTTATTTTATTTTATCACATTTTTTACCTGAATTTCCGTAAAAACAAGTAAAAAAATATTGACTCAGAGTAACTTTTGATTTGACTATTGATTCAATTCCCTACAATGCGAAAAAAAACCTTTTTTTTAAATCTATTTCAGAGAACTTTTCTTTGACTTCAAATTTAAAGAAAGTAAAACCATTTCTTTGTAATTAAAAAAAAAATTGAATTTTTACCCGATTCAGAGAAATTTTCATTCACTTCAAACAAACTAAACTTATTCCCTTTAAAAAAAAAAATTATGACGTTTTTACTAGATTCAGAAAAAAATTTTCTTTGCAACCTAAAAGAAAATTGTTTTCATTCCAGAAGATATACTCTTTGAAAAAATAAAATAGGAAAAAAAATTTTTTTTAACGAGAACATAACGTAAAGAATCATGAATCGAAATCAGAATCTCGGCTATCATTCTTTTCATAAATCCCTGTGGGAATTCAGCAAAATTTACTTCACCTTGAGATTTTGTGGTTTATCACCAGCATAAAAGTGAAGTTAAAGAGCGAAAATAGTTGGGAGAGAGAATCGCAACTATTCATGAAACGAGAGAGAAAGAGAGAAGGGGGAAAATCCAGGATACGAGAGAAAGAGAGAGAGAGAGAGAAAATTCATTTTGTGTCACTTTAAAATCCGTGTGGCATTAGAAATTGTTCCTTATGAAGTTGCTTCTCGTATGACAAAGCATATTTACTCGATTCTAGTACTAAACTCAGTCAGTATAGTCATTCAGAGTATATATAGTATATAAAATATTTTCAGGTGCTTTTAAGCTACTGACCCTCTCTTTCGATCCCTTTTGCCTCTTTCTCTCTCTCTCTCTCTCTCTCTCTCTAGGTCCTTGATCCTCAACAATATACCACCGGCCTTTCCTTTTACTTTGGCTTCTTTCACCAGAGTATTATGTGCGCTGGTATAAGGTCGAGAGAGATCAAGAATCACATTGTTCACTCGACAGAGGAAACTGTAGCTGATACACAACGACGTGGGTTCAGAAACGTGATCCGAAACTAAAAAAGCACAACACAGTTGCTTTTCTTGTGTATTGCACAAGGTCTTTCACCGAGCGATATATTGGCAACGAATACACCCTTAAAAATTTGGCGCTAAATTGCTGCTAAATTTGACACCGTCAATATAAAGATGAAATCGAGATATTCTTCGAAAAATACTTTTTTCCACAAACACACGTCTCGATAATTCTTGACAAAAAAAAATGCTGACTATTCACAATTTTTTACCTGAAACTTATTACTATTTTTTTATTATTCTTCCTTGTATCATTTTTTTTATATTTCTACTGAATATTATTTTTATTTTTTTTCCTTCATGTCTGATAGATCAACCTGTACCACTTGGAAAAAAAAATAAAAAAAAATTACAGTGTCTGACTAAAATTATTTTATACTACTGTAACTCACAACAAAAATGTATTTGACAAATAATTTTTGATTACTAATTCTTGTTTAATAATAATTTCCTATTGTTTGTAATCTTTTATAATATATTAACAATTTTTACTGCTAATAATTTTTCACGACTAATAAATTTTTATTACTAATAATTGTTTACGATAAATTATTTTTTACTATACTAATAATTTTTTAATACTAATAATTTGTAGGTAACTACAAGCAAATTTATACTATTAATAATTTTTTACTATCACCAATGAAACTATCAACAAATTATCCGCAATCATTTACTGTCATCAATTTTTGACTACTAATAATTTACACTGTTAATAAATAATTTTTCATAATTAATAATTTTTCACTGGTTTTAATTTGTTACTAATAATAATAGTAATTTACTACTGCTAATTTCTTACTAATAATAATCATTTTTCTTTCTATTTGAATAATTTTAATCTGCAAATAGTACGTGATATTCCATTCACATTCCTGAAATATTCCATTGTAATATTCGAAACATTCCAAAGAAATATTATCTACATTTTAAGAATATTAAATGCCCGATCTTTGCAATGTTTCTTTGGAATTATGTAGGAATATTCCATCAAAATATTATGGGAATATTCCATTGAAATTAGGAAAA